TCGTTTCCAAAATGTGGTTATCGTTTCAGCGCCACGCATCCTCGTGGTAAAATTGTGCAAGAATTTCACGGAATAAAGGCGGGTTGTTTTCAAAATGTGGTTATCGCTTTAGCGCTGCTCACATTGGCCGTAAAATGTTGCAAGAGGTTCACGGATCGAGGGTGGTTCTTTCTCAAGTCTGAGTCATCGCTGTAGCGCCGCGCACACTCGGTTTATCAGTTCGCAAGAGCTTCATGGATTGAGGGAAGCTCAGTTTCAAAATGTGGTTTTCGCATTAGCGTCGGGCACATTCGTTTCAAACAGTTACAAGAGTTTTATGGGTTCTCATGGCTACCGTATCAGAAGTGGCGTATGGGAACGATCCGGGATTGTCTGGCCGCAACAGTTACGTTAATTCGCGGTGTTGAAGTCCCAGGAATGGCGGCATGGCACGATTCAGGATCGTCAAGACGCAGCAGTCAGATTGATTCGTAGCGGTGCAGTCCCGACTATAGTGTTTTGGTCCGCTTCAGAATTTTCACACGTCTGTCCCCCAACGGGGCATTTCCCACAGTGGAAACGAATCGTTGTAGAGGGGGCCTATAAGATAAAGAGGGAGCTTGAAGAGAGAGTGTATTCCAACATCGTGGATGAGACTTGGGTTTTCACTGGTCCTCCCTCTCCTCTGCCTCCGCCGTCCACTTGTTCCTCCCCCCCTCCACGCCTCCCCTCCTCGTATCCCCGTCCTCTCCTGGCTCGGGTCCTCCCCCGCCTCCTCCTCCTCCCCCGGCTCCGCCTCCTCCCCCATCGCCTGCCTCTTCCTCCGCCTCCGCCTCCCCCCCTCCTCCCCCTCCCCCCCTCCTCCCCCCTCCTCCCCCCTCGTCTACAATTGTTCAATATGAATACTACTCCCCTCTCTCCCCTGAGTCTGTGGCGGAATCTGTCTCGGAGTGTTCGGCCCCCCTTCGCGTATTGTTTGTTCCACAGAATGTCGGCGAGTTGGGTTGTCGCTTGTTTGTCATAATGCTGCGCTCGCTGAGGCGCTGGCCTCATTTTCGGGCTTCCGCTCGTTCTGAATCGTGCTCCCGCTGCAGCGATGGCTTCATTTCCGCGCTTCCGCTCATTCCGAATCGTGCTCCCGTTGCAGCGTTGGCCTTATTTCCGCGCTTCCGCTCGTTCCGAATCGTGCTCCCGCTGCAGCGCTGGCGTCATTATTTCCAGCGCCATGCCACGGCATGGTTTTCGGCCCTCTCGAATAGGACCCCAAAACTAGAAAATGGCACCCCGAAGCAACCATCGGAAGTGATTACACATTCGGTGCCGATTCATTGATTTGGGGGCCGCAGAAGCCCCCCCACACTCTTGGGGCGTCAGGATGCGCGTGGATCTCCAACACCATGCTATGGCATGTAATGCTACGCCCTGCTACGACATCCGATTGTGCGACTAGAGAGGAGATCTGCGCCATGGTAGGGGGAGGGGTAGGACGTCAGATATGACGCGAGTGCACCTAGCTTGCCTCCACCTCCTCCCCCTCCGCCTCCTCCTCCTCCCCCCCTCCCCCCCTCCTCCCCCGGTCCCCCCCCCTCCTCCTCTTCCTCCTCCTCCTCCTCCTCCTCCTCCTCCTCATCATCATCATCATCATCACCATCATCATCACCCTCCTCGTCCTCCTCCTCCTCCTCCTCTTCCTCCTCACTTTTACGCTAGAGCAACCTGAGCGTGACGCCGTGGCGCTAGCGGCAACTGAAGAAATCAAAAAACAGTTGGTCAAGGAAAAGGCACCTAGCGGGCGCCGCGGAAAATGAAAGAGAACAAGCGTGGGACAAGAATATGTGTGAGAGTGGGCGCCCGCCAGGTGTGACGACATTCACCTTAGTTGGATAGCAACGGCAGCACTAACAGAAAGTAATGGAGTGGTAAACAATAAGATTGATGGTGAGTGGCATCGTGGTTTTGCAATTGCAGTATGCTTAGGCTGGCCTGGAGGGCTTGCCTGTGTCAAAAGCCGCAATTGTGGTACGGGCGATGCGGAACAGTAAAATAACGCAGCTGCACCGAGTCGTGGCCTGACGCTACAGGTTCTTGTTCTCCTCCACCACACCTCCGTCCGTCATAAGCCCCCAGCCCCCATCCCTTTTACAGAAAAGGTTCCAGCTTGGCAGGCTGCAGTGAGCAGTAGAAAAAAACAACAGACTGTGCTGTGTCTTGCAAGGGCGGAGCCGTAGTGAGGAGGCAACTAGATGAGGTGCAAGAGGGGAGTGAGTTGCGCGAGCTGACGACGAGCAGCATCATTAAAAAGAAAAAGCGGAGTGTGGCAGCTCTTGGGTTGCAGCCCAGGGTTTTAGGGTTTACCCCAAGCCGCCTCGGTAACAGGATCCTCGTGTTTGTTTGTATTGTTCTTCTCGGGTTTAGCACGAACCCTTGTTATCAAGTCTGTCAGCGCGAGCACTTGGAAATGTCGCAACGCTGGACTGTTCACGCTGGCCTGTTGCGTATAAATCGACAAGGTGCAACCGGAATTCACCGCGGGATGCGCAGTGCCAGTTACGAAGTGCCTACCTCTCCACCTCCCCCTATCCTCCTCACGCTCCCCCTCCGCCTTCTCCAATGCGATAGCATGTCGAGCCGTGCGAGGATAGGCAAAAGGGGCTCCGTCTGCCGTGGGAGGTTGGCTCGGACAGTACCAGCTGGCCTGAGGCAGAAGCACACTGTAAATTTATTGTACTTGATCACTGCAGTTGGCTAATATGTGATTGCCCTCACTGGGGGTGAAAATAGCAACGACGCTGGCAGTTTTTATCTTCCTCCTCACACACACGCACTCCCCCACCGCCACCACAATCCTCCTCGCAACTATCCTCCACCTCCTCCACCATGTGTGTACCACGCATATAGTATGTAGATCGATGAACATACAAAGCGTATCACGCATACTACAAAAACACACATGTGACAACACGTGGCAAGAGACATCGTGCTGCTCTGATCCTGCCTGAAAACAATCGCTCGAGAAGAGTTCAAGAATGTTAACATACATACCGTTGTGCAATACGTCCACCGCCCTGCTACAATAGAAGAACACACAATGAGAGAATAATAGGATCTAAAGACAACTCAATACATGTGACAACAATTGACAGAGACACCAATCATCAAACTGAAGATACAACTCACAACAGGAAGGAGATCCCCAAGCGACCGCATTGGATGAACAATATGTGGGTGAGATGTGTGTGTGTGTGATCGGGCAAAGTTGTCCAGTTAAAGTGGCTGGGGCCCGTAGGCGGGAAGGCGGTACTCCCATCCCAGCCACTGGCGGTCCAGGCGGCACTGGGGCCCGTAGGCGGGTAGGCGGAACCACCATCCCAGCACCAACTTGGCCGCCCACGTCAGCGTTTGGCTGAAATTTTATCTCCTGCGCTAGTACATGCGTAACCCATGTCGATCGCAATGCCCTGGGAGCCAAAAGCCAGCCAACCACACATTGACATATGTTTGAAAAGGTAGCTTTGGTCGTCTATACACTCTGTGCCATGGCTTGTCGGATTGATGGGGAGCGACATGGATTCGGGAGTGGGCGGAGGCATGCAAGAAGTAATCGGGGCGTGGTCCTGCAACGGGGCACTCGATCTTTCGACGTCGTCGCTCGCCTGGGCTCGTTGTGCGAGTTTCTGGGAATGCTCACGCATGAGTTTGAGGAATCCTTTGGGAAGTGCGGCCTCGTGTGCGCCTGGGTCGAAGTCTGGATGCTCACGGGAGGGGTGCCGGATACAATATTGATCCCATGCATTCTTCCATTGGGCGGCGCATTGTCGGCCTTGTGTTGTGAGTTGCGCTAACTCCTTTTGGAACCATCATGAGGCGTATTTTCTTCCGCGTGAGTCGGAAGGTCCCGTGGAATCGAGAGAATCCCAGCTACACCAGCCCCGCTGGGGGGAGCGTCAACAATGGCAATTGGAGTGGCCATTTTCTCTATGTGCGCGATGCAGTCGGATGGTTTGCACGGCAACGTTTCCCACTAAATACCATTATCGGTTGCTCCGGGGGGTTATATTGTGGCGGCGGAGGTAATGGATTAGAAAGCAAGGGAATAGAAATTTGGAATTGAACTACAGCAGAAAGACCTTTAATGTGATGAGCCGAGGAAACGCTGAAGTCCATCCAATGTTAAAAAAAGTTGAGAGCGTGCGTATTCTTCAGCGATCAAAGGATATGAGTATTGCGATCGCGTTCTCGACGTTTTCTAGATTTGTTGAGCTGCTGCGATGTCGTCGCAAGGTCGCCAACCTGTGAGGAAAGTTGAGGGAACATTGCGAAATGAGGAGAGCTATGTTAAGCGAAATGGCTGCGCAGGGTCGGCAGAGCAAGGATGAGGTCGCGGTGATCCTCCCCTATGGAGGTGGGCGCGCTGCCACAACCGCTCAAGGCGGGTATGGCTAGCAGCGCGTGCGCGTCCTGGGCAGAACGCAGCAGCGGATCCAGGGGCATGTGGCCACAACGCCTTTCGGCACGCAGAGAGCGGTAGCCGCCACAACCATGACGACTTGAAGCTGCAAACAGCTCCTCCTCCTCCTCCTCCTCCTCCTCCTCCTCCTCCTCCTCCTCCTCCTCCTCCTCCTCCTCCTCCTCCTCCTCCTCCTCCTCCTCCTCCTCCTCCTCCCTCCCTCCCTCCCTCCCCTCCCTCCCTCCCTCCCTCCTCCCTCCCCCTCCCTCCCTCCCTCCCTCCCTCCTCCCTCCTCCCTCTCCTCCTCCTCCCCTCCTCCTCCTCCCTCCTCCTCCTCCTCCTCCCTCCTCCTCCTCCTCCTCCTCCTCCTCCTCCTCCTCCTCCTCCTCCTCCTCCTCCTCCTCCTCCTCCTCCTCCTCCTCCTCCTCCTCCTCCTCTCCTGATCACCGTCCTGAGCTTTCTTCGGAGCAATCGGGGCCCGAGGGACGCCCTGGCCACACGAGCTTCCTCCCCCCCCTCTCCTGTGGCCTCTGCCGCCCTGCCCGTGCCCCCGCCGCGCCCCCTGGGGCCGATCTCACGGCAACAGCGATGGGAGCGGCCCGGAGGACGTGACCCTCTCGAGGCCGCGGAGCAGCCGGGAGCCCATCAAGCTCTGCGTGAAGGCCTCCGGTGCCGCTGCCAGGGCGAGGGAGGGAGAGAGGGAAGGAGGAAGGGAGGAAGGAGGAGGGGGAGTGGGAGGGAGAGGGGAAGGACGAGGACGAGGACGAGGACGAGGACGAGGACGAGGAGGAGGAGGAGGAGGAGGACGACGACGACGACGAGGACGAAGAGGAGGAGGAGGAAGAGGAGGAGGAGGAAGAGGAGGAGGAGGAGGAAGGAGGAGGAGGAGGCAGGGGAAAGGAGGAGGGCGAGGGGGAGGGGGAGCGGGCAAGCTAGGTGCGCTCGCGTCATATCTGACGTCCTACCCCTCCCTCCCATCCCTTACCATGGCGCTGATTTTCTCTATCCGCGGACGCGTGTCGTAGCGGACCTGTGGCTCCGCGCGCGCGTGCGTAGTGGGTGGTGGTGCGCGTGCGTGCGTGCGTGCGTGTGTGCGTGGTTGTGTGGTGGTGGTTGTGTGGTGCTGGTGTGGTGCTGGTGTGGTGCTGGTGCTGGTGCTGGTGCTGGTGCTGGTGCTGGTGCTGCTGGTGCTGGTGCTGGTGCTGGTGCTGGTTGCTGGTGCTGGTGCTGGTGCTGGTGCTGGTGCTGGTGCTGGTGCTGGTGCTGGTGCTGGTGCTGGTGCTGGTGCTGGTGCTGGTGCTGTTGCTGGTGCTGGTGCTGGTGCTGGTGCGTGGTGCTGGTGGTGGTGGTGGTGGTGGTGGTGGTGGTGGTGGTGGTGGTGGTGGTGGTGGTGGTGGTGGTGGTGGTGGTGTTGGTGGTGGCGGTGCGGCGCGGTGGTGGCGGGCGGATGGTGGCTGCGTGCTGGTGCTGGTGCTGTGCTGCTGGTGCGTGGAGGCACGGTGGTGGCGGGCGGATGGGCGCGCGAGAAAAAGGCCCGCGCTGGGGCGAGAACGCCATCCTGAACGACGGAGGCCAAGCACCGATCCGAAAATGAGGCCCACGCTGCAGCGGGAGCACGATTCGGAACGATTCGGGAGCAGAAATGAGGCCGGCGCCTCAACGAGAGCAGCATTTTGGGAAAAAATGACGCCGGCGCCTCAGCGAGAGTCGTTTCCCGGGATTTCCCGGGCATCCTGTGTGTAAAAAAAACAGTACGCGGAGGGTGCGCGGCCATCACCCGGACGCCATCAGGGGAAGGATTCGGGAGCAGAAATGAGGCCGGCGCCTCAACGAGAGCAGCATTTTGGGAAAAAAATGACGCCGGCGCGAGAGCAGCATTTTGAGAAAAAATGACGCCGGCGCCTCAGCGAGAGTCGTTTCCCGGGATTTCCCGGGCATCCTGTGTGTAAAAAAACAGTACGCGGAGGGTGCGCGGCCATCACCCGGACGCCATCAGGGGAAGAGGGAGAGTATATTCATATTGAGTAATTGTAGAAGGAGGAGGAGGAGAGGAGGAGGAGAAGGAGGAGAAGGAGGAGGAGGAGGGGGGGAGGGGGAGGGGGTGGGGAGGGGAGGGGGGAGAGGGGAGGAGGAGGAGGAGGAGGAGGAGGAGGAGGAGGAGGAGGAGGAGGAGGAGGAGGAGGAGAAGGAGAGGGAGGAGGAGGAGGAGGAGGAGGAGGAGGAGGAGGAGGAGAAGGAGGAGGAGGAGGAGAAAGGAGGAGCAGGAGGACGGACGAGGAGGAGGGAGGAGAAGGAGAGCAGTTGTGGACGAGGCCACGGCTCATAACACGAGTGTGTTTATTGCAGGTCGGTTTGTGCGGTGTTCCCAGTTTGCTTGGTGACCTTTTGATTTGCGATGTGGTTATGTCTCCCGTGGTGCTCTTGCGCGGGAAGACAAAGCTCCGCAAGAAGGCCTCCGACGGGGGCTGGCGGTCCGAGGACATCGCGCCGTAGTGTTTCCTTGTTCTCGGCATGTGGATGCCCTTTCTTCAGAATGACAACTATCAGAGACGCCTACGGCGAATCACCGCCGCCCCCTGCCGTTGGGAATCGCCCATGTGGCCGAGCGTTGTGGCAAGAGCTCTGCCAAGCTATCGGACCATATGTTCCCTCAGCCGTTGTAGAAACCTTTCGGGCAACACTTGGGGGAGGATGGCGGCACGGTTGCGGAGTGTACTGAATCGCAGTGTAGTGATGCGTTTTGATCTGACATGTTCGAAACAGATTGGCGGTCTCAGCCACGAGCTTTCATCTCGAAGGATGTGTGTTTCAAACGAGAACTTTGGTGGGGGCAAGTTACTTGCAACGCAGCTCGAGGATCGTAACTCGAATTGTGCGTTGCTGCGTATTCGCCTGGGTCTGTTCATTGCAGCCCCCCCCGCCGTCGACAGGCCAGGGGCTCAGGGCGGTTCGCTTGTGGACACTACGACCTCGACACGCAGAACAGCACCCTCGACCGTATCATCTGGCTGGACACCAGGAACAAAGGAAAAGACTCGGTGTGGGAACGCCCTGGCAACGGGCACCCGCCGTGA